TATGAAGGAGATCACGAAACGCTTGGGTGCTGTCGGTGCTACTCGCCTTCCAGGATGGGGACCGCGTGATCCTCACTGTGCCTGGTTGGAGACACTACAAGATATGGCTGCCAACCGATGTCAGTGGCGTTCTTGTTGTCCGTTTCTGTCCAGATTGCCTGAGTGAATGTCTGGAGGTGTACGCACCTCAGAATGCTTCTGTTAAGCGTGCACTAAGTCCCTCCCCCATCCACCTTTATTCTTTTCTTTACAATAAGTCATGGTTGTACGGCAGTGAAGCGTCGGTGTTGAACACTGATGTCATGCTGTCGATGATGATGATGATGATGATGATGATAATGATGATGAGTGCATATGTTCCTGCAAGTTGCTCATTTTACAGACAATCACCAGTTACTTCAGGTAGGTGGGCCAAAACGTCCAGGGTTCCAACCGATGAGGAACGATCGACTTGTGTGTGTAATCGAGGCTAGCGTCCTTGTAATCTTTTCCATAACGGTCCTTTCTTCAGCCTGTACCATATTTAGCCCATTTTGACAGCGTTTGGCTGCCGAGATTAATCTGCACGCATAAAATGTATGAGAAAATCTGGATCCAGAAGGAGACGACTGGCGACAAGTAATACTGTGTTTGTGGTTGTCCTAACAAGCCTTTTGATATCGATTTTTTTACTTTTGTTCACTTTAACCTGTGCATCTGTTTTACTGGCCACCACTCACTAATTTATTTCAAGTTCTCAGGTATTACACAAGGGGTATCTCCTACCCTTCTTTGTTATTGTGTTTTTCTCATTTAGCGATTGCTCTCTGCATTCGGTGTCATAGAATTTTCGATATATTGTTTCAAAAAACTTACAGTTGTTTGCTCCAACGGTAATCCCTAATAAAGGTGAAGCTTGTCATGTAGTCAGGTTTCGTAGGAATTTAGTGAGATCCGTTTCAGCCCCCAGTTGACTTTCAATCCATTGTTTTCATTAGTTTGGTAATTCTGGTTGTTGACGACTGATTAGGGTGAGCAGTATGATTATCTGAATATATTCTAGTGGGCAAAAGTGCTTGTCAACTGCTATGACTAGCAGCACTCAAATTCAGATGTTCTATGACATGTTTCACTGCCTCCTATGTGCAATATTTCTTTGATGGAAGTTATGGGCACTAGTACAGCAACTTGATGCGTATGTCGTTGGAACGTGGGGACATTCATGGTGACCACGTGATCATTCCTTATTTCATTGTTCCTATTAAACCTTTTTCTAGGACGATCCGTGTTCCCGTTGTACCCTGGTATTCCAACCGTAGATTAATTATTTTACTCTTCTAACCTCAGATGCGGTGCGTAGTAGATTCAGATACACCCGAATGTAAAATTATGGTGTTCGGTTGTTCCCGTTATTCGGTGTTGTTTTATAGTTTGAGCCTGAAGGGAGTGGTGGGTGGGCATTTATTGCTAATGGTAAGTTGTGTTGACTCTTTGCGAATGTGAAGTGACATGGCCCGAAAATGTGTACCATATTAGCACTGTGGTCCCCTGTCGCATGGTAACATAGCAACAATTCTTATAATTGGCCCGATGTTCAATCACAGTTGAATAAACTACTGCATAGTCTGCTGTTCCATATTCCACTTCGAGTCCCCAACGCAGCACCTAGTCGCAAATTTGCCACGCACATTTACCAAGGCTCCGTTGCCTTCATCGAGGTAGGTTCTCTGACGCCTTCCTTCATAGTTTCGGTTCAAATAAAGCCCTAGTTTTAACCGGTAACCTGATGTAAGGCTTTTCGGTTCATTCTTTTGGTGTATTGCGTTGTTTCAAAAAGTTTGTTCTTTTGGGCTGAGTTTCTGCCTCCTGGTATACACGTTATTAATCCGTTCCTCCATCTGTCAACTGAGACATCTCGCTGGTGTCCGTCGCGCAGTGACGACGTCGACAATTCATGTACCTCCGCATCTTATTTCGCATCCACAGAGTCCGTGCTACGAGATAGGTCAGTGGGTAAATATCTATAAGCTTATTCTCCTGAACGTTTGCATCCTATGCGTCCCCTTTTTATTTATAGGCTACTGGTAATGTACGCTGACTACTACCGCTACCTTTTAGTCCTGGCCTTTTAATGAGGTGCCTTACTGTTCGACTATCTAGGCCTAGACTCCATGATGGCCCTTATGCCTTTATGCTTTGTCGACTGCTGCGTCGGATCATCTGCTGGGTGCACCTTTAGCTGCATAAAACTAAACGGATCGGCAAAAATTGGTCATTGTTGACACCTCTTCGTACTAGTCCATACAAGTACCTACTCGGGCTTAATATTTCCTGTTTTGTAGATAGCAGCTTTGTACACACAGCGAACGGCCAGTTGTAAAGTGAACTGTACCATGCACTGTACATTATCACCAATTTCATTTTCCTAGTCAGCGTTTTAGTGCCGTTGAACGATATCTGATACGAACGTATTTTCGGTATACCGAAACAGCATGCCACACGTTTATTTTGCATTATCTCATCTACTCAAACTCAGATCCCTCAATTCCGACGGCTTCAATTCTTCCGCTGCTGAATATGACTTTGACATCATCTTCGTACATGGCATGCGCGGTAGTGTCTTTTTCACATGGCGTCAGAACGACGCGGTTCTTGACGGTAACGAAACAAATGCCGGCAACTACACCAAGTGCTGGCCACGAGTATGTACCAACTTTCCTCTAGTCGTGTATTTTTATCATCCTTATGGTAAACCTCATAAGACCGTTGAATGAAGGTCAGTGGACTGTAACTGATCCGAGTTGAGGATATATCGTACCCGGGCGCCGACTGGGTTCCGACGAGGCTATTTTCTAGCTTGAAGGCTTTTCCCATTGCAAAATTTTCTGAGGAAACAATCTCAATAGCCCCGAGGAACCCCTGGATTTCGAAATGACAGGTTATCTCCATACTGACTCTCGTTTTACAGACACGCAATAACGGTTGGACGGTGTTGTACCCTGTAATATCTTTGTTTTAATGACTTGAGTCGAACGATAGCTTTGCGCCGCAACACAGTGAATGAAAGTGGAACTTAGGAAAAGATAACTGAATATTTACTTAATACAGGGCAGTTCCCTCTTAATATGACATCACATTTCTTTCATACAGTAGTGTTTTGTTGGTCTTTATTGTGACTTGTTAGCGAGTACGTTACATGTTTTTAGAAATCCATTATGATAGTGTTTCTTTCAAATGATTTGTCATTAGTTCAGAGTCTAAGTTCAGTGCACACATGTCGTTCTTTCTCTCAAGTCAGAGTGGGGGATGAAGAGGTCACGTCTAGCGAACGTCTTACCAACTTATCAGAAGGCTGCTCAGTTAGCAAGCCGATGGGCTCATTCCTCTGAGGCACCAGTCAAAGACCAGGGTCATCCGGAGTGGATAGATCCTATAAAGACGCCAACACTGCACTGACAATGTTCGTCCGAGTAATACACGTTTCTGAACAATAGCCCAGCTGCACTTGCAGACCAGAGGTCATCAAAGAAGTCGTCGCGCGATACATAATCGAAACGATCGTGTGGGTCCTGAGTCCGCGCAAGTCTTGATACTGGTCACTGCGACTCATCCCTCCTACATCTCGTGTTTAATTTATCTAATATGCCTTCTGGGTTTGAGGACAGGTCACACATTAATTAATTATGGCAAAGTAGCAGCTGTATCGCATTGGTTAGGGGAATTGAGCTGGCTTTCTAGAATCCCCACGTTTATCCGCTGTATCCGTTGTTCATTTTGCCACCAACTAAGGGTTTTGGATAATTTAGTATCATAATGCAGTCCGTTTCCCAAATCGATACTCTGGGAACAGATTGAATTTGCAGATTTGTGAAGAGTGGAAACACAGAGAAATGATGACGGAGCGCCTCTCTAGCGTTGTCTTCACCGATATTCATGCGTAGTTGTATAAGAGCAAAGAAAATCTGTGGCCAGTCCCTCAGCAAACCAGCAATAGGTCGACTCTGCAGTTTCATAGGCTTAAGTCCGTTCCTTTGCGTGATGGGTTACGTTTACTTGGCTAACTCTACTGCTACCCGCGACTGTCGATCGATAAATCATAATGGTTCGGACGTATACATTTGCAACAGGCAATCCGCAACCGGCATTTCCCTATTCGTGGCTTATTGAGCAGGCTGTACTTGCATGTACAAAGGGTTTCGATCCTTACTTGATGTAACTGGGTCTGCTTATAAATTGATTCCCTCAACAGCCGTAACTCCAATTTCGTGTGCAATCCCTTTGTTCATTCTTATGTCTGATTAGACTTTCATTTTTCTGCTTAGTACCACATTAGTAGCCAACTACCATTAACTCATACCGTCACAAATCAGTGTTATCCTGTCCTTCAGGACTGGCTTTCGCGCGAATTTCCTCGGGCCAGAATCCTCGCAATCGATGCTTCTTTAAACCCATTTATTTGGGATCCCATTTGTCCAGTAGACAGATTAGAGTAAGTGACTATTTCACTTTTTTTTCGCTTTTTGCTAACTGTTAGAGGTGAACACTACGTGAGTTTGCCTTTCAATTGTCATTATCATGTCAGTATTCATTTTGAGTAAGCAGTCATCCTCCAATTGGCTCTTACAGTTAGAATTATTGAGATGTAAGCTGTATAACATAGATTTGTTGAGGTACAGCACCATCCATCTTACATCTCTTGCGGCTCACTGGTGACCAGACGCATTTGTGTGCCAAAACTTCGTACTTTTCCTATACCAGTGATTGACCAACGAAAATTTCCTCGCTCCAACGAACTAATCTAGGAACTTAGGTCATTCCTACCTAGGGAATAACCTGAACACTACAATGCATATTGTTATATTAGCAACAATATGATAATGTTATGCATACTGTAGTATAATGGTAATATATGATACACCTAAGTAGTCATCGCAAACTATTCTAGCTAATAATGATCAGTGTACCGACGGACGTGTTCCACTTGCTGATTCGCTGGTAAGCATATTGGTTGTGAGCGTGCAAATAGGGTACGCATGTGGAACACTCGTCCTGATCAAAGCAAAAAATTCCGTGAAATTTCCAAAAACCTCTAAATATTCCCATACTAGTAAGTACACTCATAAGAAAATTATTTGGTATGCGCGGTTTTTCCTAATTGAGTTTACCTCTCGGTTTATCAGGGCGTTCAGTATTCGCACAATGGAATTATGGAATTGACGAAAACTATGACGTGTCCCTGATGAACTAAAGCAGTAGGGCAATTGAATTCAGAGTAATAGTGCAAACTTTTGAGCCCCGCCCCAGCATCCCGGGTTCTCAGCAATGCTGGGAAATTATTTCGCCAGACATTTCCGCCAAAGGTATGATTGCTTCGGTGGACCATGAAATTTGGTGAGCTGCAAAAATATGAACGTTTATCAGGGTGGTATTTGGTTTGAGCACATACGCAACAAAATGCAGCATTTTGGCTCAAAAAGTTTTACTCCACTTGTAAAGATTTTGCAGCTAAGAGCATTGTGCGGCTAATAGACCGCGTCTGTCAGATTATATTTTCAAAGATAGGTGTCTGTTTTATTATACCTCTTGGAACTTACAGCGAAGGGCGGATCATGTGAAAAAAGAAATAAAATGATTACCTCATGATGTAGAAGTATGAGTAGTCGGTTTTACTCGTCAGCCCACTTCTTGATTTAGTAGATACTCTTCCGGGGCGAGATGGCTCAGTGGTTTAGAGCGTGAATTTACTGACCGAAAGGTCCGGGGTTCGAACCCGACCTCTGTCTCTCGACTCCCCTGTCTAGGCTTGGCAACCTGGCAGTATCCCAGCCCTCGTGCTTCCTTCAGGTGGTATGACAGCAAATAACTTATCAGAGTGGTTTTTGGTTTGAGCACATACGCAACAAAATGCAGCATTTTGGCTCAAAAAGTTTTACTCCACTTGTAAAGATTTTGCAGCTAAGAGCATTGTGCGGCTAATAGACCGCGTCTGTCAGATTATATTTTCAAAGATAGATGTCTGTTTTATTATACCTCTTGGAACTTACAGCGAAGGGCGGATCATGTGAAAAAAGAAATAAAATGATTACCTCATGATGTAGAAGTATGAGTAGTCGGTTTTACTCGTCAGCCCACTTCTTGATTTAGTAGATACTCTTCCGGGGCGAGATGGCTCAGTGGTTTAGAGCGTGAATTTACTGACCGAAAGGTCCGGGGTTCGAACCCGACCTCTGTCTCTCGACTCCCCTGTCTAGGCTTGGCAACCTGGCAGTATCCCAGCCCTCGTGCTTCCTTCAGGTGGTATGACAGCAAATAACAACTATCAGCTATCAAATACTCTTGTGGAAGCTGAAAGTCCGGCAACTAAATTAAGCTGCTTGAGGCAAAAACAACATGGGACTTCCATAGGTTTGACAGTGGTACGTCCCCGGATATAATTTGTCTAACACTTCCGACCGTCTATCTGCGAACAAAGATTCAATATGCTTAATATCACTTCCACATCTTCTATGAGTTCCTTCACCGGGAGATAGGCGTATATATATCCTATGTATCCCATGGTTAAACAGCAATAGTTTTTCGGGTACTGGTTCATCTATGACCCGGTACCTTTCTGAGAGACACATTTTCCATTTCCTGTTTTTCTGTAGACGAACTATGGATAACCGCGCCAAGAAAATTTTACCTCAGCTGCAAGCTGCCGGAGTTGGCAAACGTCCTATTATATGGGTGACCCATTCTGCGGGAGGTACGTCCCATACGTCCCATACGCCCGTAGGAGATCTTGCTTAGCACTATGTATCTCTTGGATTTTTGTCGATTTGTCGACTGTTACCTTTTCGTGCCTACCTTTAGGTATTTTAGTTAAAGAGCTTCTTCGCCTTTCTGAAGCATCTGCCAATCAGCAGCCACAGATGGATGGGGAAATCTTAGCCTCCGTGAACACCTCCGTTTCTCAAATACACACATACAAATCGGTGCCCTCGCAACTGAGCGATAGACACGCCTTGGATGTTCCGATGACTGATATTCCCTCGGTAACTGCCACTTGGTTTTGCGATCCTGCAGATCAGTCACCATCAACACAACAGATGCTCATACCTTCTCCGACAGGGGAAACAACACTCCTTCCCACCACACCAACGGGCGAGATGGCTGCGGGATTCGCAATGCCCAATAGTTCATCAAACGTAGATCTAGCTGCGGGTCACAAACCCACTTGTCGGTCGGATGATTTTGGCTTGACGAGGCATAGTCAGGGCATCGTGTTCATGAGCGCTCCTCATCGAGGTAATCGTTCTTTGTATGGACTCTATCGTCGGCCTATTCGATGGACCCTCACGCCTGAGGCCATCCAGTTAGAACGAAGTGAGTTGATGTTAGCAATCTCCCTAATTGTGATTTTTGATACTAATCTTGTGAACTCTCATGCGTTTGACATTGATATGTTCTGTGTGAAACCATTTGTCGTTTGCGCAGCTCGCATGCACTCTAAAAAGTTGTTCATTTCATCTTTCAGGATTTCGTTGCATTCTGTCTGTTCTGAGACCTCAAAACAACGTAGATGATAAGTGGAATACCACCCACCGAAATGTCGGTGATTCAAATCGACCAAAACTTGCGCCTATCTAGAAAACAACTTTGCTTATGTTTATCTGACAGTTTCTAAGGTTCCCACTATGAATCAAGCTAGGCAACAGGCTATTGTCATTTGCAGGCTGGATTCACTTTTTGTTTATGCGTGTTGTCTCTGAAATGAAGGTTAAAGACCCAGTACTGGTTCTACCGGAGCCAGTATTGTTTAAAGTTATCAGACGAGGTGAGCCTCTGTTTCGTTCAAAACCATCGGGTGGTCGGGATTGTGCAATTCGTTTAGCACTATCTGTGAAAATACTCTGTGAATGCGCTGATAATCGTTTTATGCTCACCGTGACTGGCTACGCCTGAACGGACAAGCTCTAGTGCCCAAATATACTTGTTCCGGTGCTGCGTAGGGTGTTAGAGCTCAGAAAAAGTTGTGGTTGCCGGCTATGTAAACGCGAAAGTAGGCCTACTCAGCGCTACTGAGGCTACTTCGGTTGATCACCCTAGACTGAGATCAAGACGCGTATCCGCCTGCTTCACTTGTGTTCCCGTAACAAGCTGAACATATTCCGAGCAAACGAAACCGCTTGGCATCGTGACGCCATTTACATCAAGGTATATCGCAACAGTGTTTCCAACGAAATCCTCGTCCAGTCTTCACATCACTTTACGGTATCCTTCACCTGAAACATAGACCCGCGTAACTCAGTGGTATTTTTGGCCCGATAGCAAAAGTTGAAGAATATCCTATATACGTAGGTTTTGCTGTGTTGATTCACAATCCAGTGTACATACGAAAAAGATGAGTACGCTGCATGTCCATTCAGGCTGCACCTGTGTGGTGCATTAATTGTCCAAACCCAGGACGCCTTTGGATTCATCCATTCGTTTTGCTCTTTAACGTTCTGTTTGCACTCATAAGTAGGTGGGTTCACAGTACCGCGCGCAACCGCTTCATCCGCCATAGACTTACCATAGTTTTCGTCTGCATTTCCCTTATCACTTTGTGCACCAACATAAGTTTGCAATTCTCATGTATCCATTATATGTTTTTTCGACAGTTCCACCTGATTTCTCCGCCATATTCAACTGCCCTTTTTCGTCATCCTCTTTAATTCACTCAGACTCTGCTTTCCTACTTGACCTGCATTCGTGGTTTCACACCTGGGCAACCAAATCGCAGCTCAAAGTGTTATCTATGATCGAGACTCAAGTTACACCAATCAACCGATTTTGGTCGGTCCTACTAGTTCCAGAGGATGAGAAAGGCAAGTTGGATGTCTCACGACTTCTATCCATGTTGTTGACTGTGAGCCACTTTGTCTGGCAACCCTATTCGTGATGTCCTTTCCGTCAAAGATGACTAATTTGCCTTGACTTAGAAATCGTACATAGCCACAGTGTAACTACGGTCCTGTTTTTGAGTGTGTCGTGACACCCCAGCTGAACAAACAAGACACAAGGTAATTCGATTTAGAAGTAGCAAGTGAGTGTGTAGATTTTTATCGCCCGAATGTTTCAGCTAGGTCGTATATGTTGATTTGGTTCTGTATAGATTCTCTTGGGATGTCGTCGCCACATAGACTGAACTATTTTCTACTCACGCTCCGTAAATTGTCGTCTCGTACACTGTCCAAAAACCAATAACCTATGAGCCCTGACAGATATCTCTGATGTTTAAAAGATGAACTATTTTTCAGTTAATCCCGTTTAATTACGGGGAATCGAGTTGTATCGGAAATCCGGTCATTTTTAGCTGAACCAACAGTCTATATTTCCCAGGTGTGCGTGTAGGTTCCTATCATCAAGGTACCACGCCTTCAAATAGACGGAGTATTGTTTCTGTGAAACCATGTTACTCTGCAACTTCCTGGGTTACGCTGCTTAACCCGGATTGTGGTCATTATATTTCGTGAACACTCGCTGCACGCCTTTAATCTTTCTCGTGTTTATGTTGTAGACAGCGAAATGGGCGAGGTCGTCTACATTGATTCGGACCACATGTTTATCAGCAAACCCCGTAACCAGTCCGATCCTGTCTATCAACGCGTCGTTAAATTCATCCGCGATATTCGGAATGGGCAGGTTTGTCCAACTACTTGTGAAAGTGACACATCTCGGGATTGAATTAATTTCCCAAATGGGTACCGATTTAGCGTTCCATTGAGTTGCTGCAAACTTAAATCATTTCATTTTCTTACACTTTTGTTCTACTATTTCTCAATTTCCACTGTCGCCATATTGCGATCTGAACTGCACCGCATTTTTTCTTTTGATTTGGCTGAACCTTGTACTTTCACTTTTTTTTACTAGGCGTGAGTTCTTTCGGAAAACACAACTTACTGAGAACCGGTTTTTATATGCTATTACATCGTACGTTTTGCTCCACGGGATTTCCGTTCCTTGTGCTATCATATTACAAGACCTTTAAGTCGACGTGGTCGTTCCATCCAGATACGAAACTCAGGTTTACTGTCCTGGTGAATATGACCGTCGATGCTCGGCTAGCCAAACTTACAGACTGGTCAAGTATCAGATTATCTCTAGCTTCTCGCTGTAGGTAAATTTATCGCCTGCCAATTCCGCCAGCATCATTATATTGTCAGATTATTTAGAATCACGGCTATAAACCTTGGGATGATCAGGTCACCTGAAAATACAAACTGATCGATGTGGCATGCGAACCACGTACTTGTTCTACCACCAAGGACTCGGTGCACAGTGGTCGAAATTGGAAAATTGATGTGGTGTCAACTGCGATAGTAACTGATCGACAGGTTAGCCAAAATCTAATATCATTACTGCGTACAACACTGGAGCAGTTTTGAGTCCGAGGACACCTAAAACAAATTTAGGCTTCAAACGCTGAATTTATGTTATCGTAAATCCCAGTTCAACTGCAATAATGCAAAATAAGCTGTATGTAGAAGTTCATGAAACCTGTAGAGGATCTATGGCATTAATTCTAGTCCAGAGGAGGATTCGAAAAATAGTGGACAACCTTTAGGGTATCCGACAGCTATGGTAACACAGAGTACTATTTGCGCCTTCAGCCCGATCGGGCAAGCAACACTGCAAGCAAAAGTCACAGTCAGACGATATCGTTGGCCCATCCCGCGTGAACTACCTTCCAACTTGCTGACAGCCGGAGCAGCGCAGGTTTGATGAGGCAGTGAATGCATCAGAGGTATAGTAGTGCCAATCGATTAGTCCTGTACTGAACGGAGAGACAGGCTCGATCGCGGCTTGCGTTCAACTTATGTCCTAGTCCGATGTTTATGGTTCAGTTTGGAAAGCATTCTGATACCCACATCGAAACAAAGCCATTTTGATTGATCCTTGATCCTCGGCGTTCGTTCGGTTAATGTACAGATTTATTCCTCTCGCAGTGATGCGTTCATAATCAGCGTCTTTGTGCACTGACTCAAAGCATGGTCTCAATTAAAGCTGAAGTAAAACCTATTTCTGAAGGGTAATTTAGCATTGAGCATCGCGGCGTCCGGATGTTTTACTCCACGGGGGTGTGGTGCGTAGATGAATGCAAAAGCTAGAACCATGCTGGATAATGCACATCAACAAGTTCATATCGCCTGCACCTCTTCTTTGTTATTGAGATTGATTACAAATGGCACCCAATCCTTAGTCTCCATTCGGCCAGTCGCGTGGCTTATGTACATTGAGGAGATTTCATCGTGTCAGTCAAATCTCGTTCCTATGAATGGAGTCATTCCGAGAAGCACTGTTCTGTGTATCTCTCAGATCTCGTGGGAAACTCGAACTCCCAAGCATTTGGCCGGTGTCAATAACTTGGTGTTTACCGCTACCACCCCTTAGTCGCTATGTATAAGTCACAAGATCTTGTCTTAGCGACTCATCCAGAGACAGCTCTTCGTTGGATATGGGTTAATCTCCTTTTTCAGCAGACTCTAAGGGTTGTAATAAGTGTTATTGTTCAGAAGTGTCAAAGAAGTGCCTGAAAATGTTTCGTCGCCAATGAGGAATATGTCTTCAGATTTTTTCAAGATGGCCTCTATGGGAAATCTGTACCAGAGTATCTTTCCACTGTAACTGTGACGGCATTGATGTTCAACTGCAACGCTGATTCAAATGCGCTTCGACGCACCTCACACCACTGTTGGGTAGCATGAAGGCTCACAAATTCCTAGCTTGGTAAAGTGTAAGTCTGGCCATAGATACATAAGGAATTACACTGTGCCACACGGACGTTTTGTCTCCAAAAGAGTGCAGGTCAATCACTGATCTGCGCACTTTCGAAAGAACAGAAAATAACAAAATATGCTGTTTCGCCCAAGCTGCAGTCAGCGAGGCCAACCACATGCCATTCTGTTCACCGTTTTAACGTTCGATGGATGAAATCAATGCTGATTAAGTTATTTTAGCAGATAAGCAACCACACCAAGATAGAACTTGACAATTTTCCATAGGTCTTGTGATAGTTGACTCCCATGTCAGCCGCAAACGATCCGCTTTCGCCCCGCATCACATCCACAAGCGATCGAAATATCATCGTGGTTGAGACACCCAATCGTTTGAATCAGCACAGAGACAGGGGTCGCACCAACCAGTTGAATCGATCCAAATTTCCAGTGATTTGATATAAATACGTTGGATTTGAGAGCTCCCGGTTGTCTACTAGCTACTGAAATACTGCCCTACTACGACCACCGTGGCTAAGGCTCATGCCATGGTGGAAATACCGAGTGCTAAGAAAACTCTGTGCAGAGAATTCGTCAGCTCTGCAGCAGTGGATCCATCAGACAACGTACTGATGAAAGAAAGCCACGAAACTTGGATGAAGTGTTCGCTTCGTCAAGCTTGTTATCCTTGCAGTACGCAGTATTCTTCTGTGATCTGAGAACAAGCTCTTCTGAACAAACTTAAACTGAACTCCCGAAATCCTAGTCCACTGCATCGTTCCATTTCTCATGCGTTGTTTGTTTGCAGAAAAGTAAACCCGTTTGCTGTTCTTCCCTTTATCAATTAGAGGAACTATATGTTCAGCCGACAAACCACGCCGTTTCAACTGAAATTTCAATGTCCTTCAAGATGCTTGAGCGTTAGCAGTCACTGGTTCTGCAGTAAGGGAATTCCTTTGGATAGACACCAGAAGACTTCGTTTATTCTTCCGAGCAGCTTTTAACGACCGGGTCGATTACGTCACCTAAGAAATTTCATTTGTGGCTGTTAAAGGCGAAGATGTCTTATGACGGCAGTGTAAGGGTTTACGATACGAACCGAATGGAGATAGTTTGATCTTGTCGTTAAACCATGCAATTTAGCTACAAACGTTTTGGTGGCGTCGTTATGTGGCGATGCATCGGTGGTGTACTGGTAAATGCTACAAGGCTGCTTGAACTAACCTATCATTCAAATCGCGTGGGTTCTGTTTTTGCGCCTCGTTCGCCTATGTTTCTCTCCTCACTCTCAGTTCATTATTCTTTCTGTGGCTTCCAAGCAGATTAGGTTAAAATGGCACCTTCATGTATAGGGTTACAACCAATCGTCGGTTACTGTCTGATTACAGAAGCACAAGATCGTTTTTTAGCCACAACCCGTCTGGTTGAAGTATGCCTCTATACAACCACCGATTAGAGTGCAACAAGCTCTCGTATGCCCTGCGTCTCCCTAATGCTACTATATTACATGTCCCACTGTTTACCAGACGCTAGTGCTTACCAAGTTCTAGTCAGCAGTATATCGTGCGCATCTTTTTGTGCTATTTCTACATTATTTCTGTGTTATTTCTGTAATTCGTGCCCATCTTAGAAGTATATTATCCTAACTCAGGTTTGGGGGCTGCTAGCCGGCAGGGTAGTCGGGTCACTTTAAAATCTCTAGTTTAGTCACCATGCTCAGACGAGAAGCCGCTGCTCTGTTTGATGGGTACATGCACTGCGAGTGGTAATCCGGCTGTAATGCAGTCAGTCCAAAATAAATTTATGTTGGAGTGATATTAGCGAGTAAGATACTTCTATTGCAAAATCTCCGTTTTCCTAAGTTTGGCCATTCTCCTCGTCCTAAATTGGTGCAAGTCCGAGCAACGTGTTGCCCACAATGGACCACGTTTGATCATCTGAAATAAAACAAAGAGATGCACATATATAAATATTACATATTTTTCAGTAGATATCTGCGGAGCGAGTACTAGCACAAATAGTGAGTGCGGCTCCAATCCGCTGATTTTATTCCTTGTTAGCTCTCCTAAAAACCCATCTTAAAGGACAACAAATCTGTGGTTTCTCGAGCGGGCGAGCTTTCTGATGCATTTGTGCATGAGAAGACAAGAGTGTTGACCACTTGTTTATCTTACTTGTCGCACTTTGGCTCATGAGGTTTATTTACAGCATCAGCAGAACTGGTCCCAGGGTGCTTCTTGCTTAGCATATACTATTAGCGAATGTACATAGATGACCGCCCATTATGTTGGTGCGGCAACCAAATAGTACACTGGTAGTTAATATCCATCGTGCTCAAGTGTTACTCAAGAATATATTGCAAATTCTAGGCATTTTAGAACCAGTTCCATAAACCATTATGCTGCGGAACTTCCTTTCTATTGCAACAACACCAGTTATTCTTCTAACCTCATGGAACTAAGGAACCCAGAAACACCAAAGCACTATCGTAGGTTCGGGTTGATTGGACAGATATGCGAAGTGTAATTGCAGCCAAGGCTACCTAGGACTATCAGTTTGATGAACCTCAAGGTCCAGGATGCTAACAATCAGCTTGTCCAGGACCGATCGGACGAATGTTGATCTGTCCTATTTTGGGTCCGTTGCAACTCAGTATATTTTCTCACATTTCTGACTTTATTTCCAAAATAAAGTGTATCTCATAGCTAAGACGCATAACCATTCCGACTCCCAACCTCAGATTGTGTACTTTTATGTATAGATCACAGTTGCTCAGACGAAAGTTGGGTGAAGGTCGAAGGCAATAATAATTATTTCTGAACCGATCTGTTGGGCAACCATCTTCCATTTTGGTTCAACACTTGCTGTCTACTTGAAGATTACATTGCAGCTTCAGCGAACACGAAATCAAGGACAATGATGTTTATAGGTGTAGATAAAGATACATACGAATCAGACAATGCCAGGCTAAATCCCGTATGTACTGAACTGGCATTGCAGTCCAACTTACCCAGCTTTACACTCAGGAGTATATTTTGCTTCTGCAGGTGCCGTCAGCTGAACCTGAATACATATATAGTGGATTTGGAGAGGGGAGATGTCTGCCGAGTTGACTGAACAGCACACTACGGTCTTATCTTCAGGTGAAAACGTTTTGGTGTCGCCTCTCATTAGTGTGGACTCATCAGAGCAAGTAAGCCCGGATAGAAAAATGACTCTTCGTAAGA